CTGACCATCGCCGACGCGTTCGTCAGGGCCGGCGAGAGCCCCGCCCCGCCGCTCCCCGCGCTTCCGAGGAGGTTCATCTGCTCCTTCCCGGATTGCAGCGCCAGTTACAACAAGGCCTGGAAGTTAGACGCGCACCTGTGCAAGCACACGGGGGAGGTAAAGGGTCCGAAGGCGGGGCCCGAGGGACCGGTTCCAGGCCCGGGGACTGGTGACATGGCCCGCCGGGTGGACCCGCTCGCGGGGGCGCTGGCCTGGCTTTGCCAGACGTGTTCAGCGTTGGCACGTGGGCCGCAGAAGCGAGTCAACCCCGCCTTAGGTTAGGGAAGGAGCTGAGGAGGTAGACAAGACGTTCCAGCACCCAGGTATCCTTGCGGTGGGCTCCGGGGTTTGCAGAGCAAACTTTCCCCTTCTTTCACCCTGAGCCTTGGCCAATCACCACCTCCTGGTCATCTGTAAAGACTGCACGACTCATTCCACAGGCACCTGCCGTAAGCACCTCTCTCCCAGAACTTGTGTGGACAATAATCTGCAAGTACTGGAGGTTTAGCAAGCAGCGTGCAGTCATTCTTTCAAAACACAGTACCAGCCTGGCCTTGGAGAGAGAGAGCAGTGAACAAAACAGGCAAGGCTTCCGTGGTCACCGGCCTTATGCTTTAAGCAGGACAGACAGATAAAGGAGTAGGTAGGCGTGAGATGCAGTAAGTCGAGGGCTGCTGGAGGGTGCTTAGGAAAGGCCTCTTGTCCTGACTGGGAAGGAAAGGATCCAGCCATGCAGCCAGTTCAGGAAAAACAGTCTGGGCCAAGAAAACTGCAGGGAGAGCCTGTGGTGCTGGGGGGAGGCAGGCCAGTGTTATTGGGTGGGACCCTACAAGAGAAGCCCTGAGAACCAGGATCATTTGTAGGCCAGGGTACAGATGGGTTTGGAGTGTGGGTTTTACTTGGAGGGCAATGGGACTATTTTGGAGGAAGACAGTTGAAGGAAGTGGGGCTCATGGAGGCCAAGGAATCAGCCCAATTTCCTAGTTTTTGGCAGAGCCTGGCTTCGCACTGCCTCAGCTAAAGGCCCTTAATTTCTTAAGTTAGAGGCCTGCAGTCGCTGCCTTTGCTCCTAGCACCTACCGAACTTAGGGGCCACTCCTCTAATGACACCCATTCTCCTTACCATCTCCAGCATTTAAAGGCTGACCATCTCCTTCTTGGGACCTTCTCCTCCAGGCCTCTTCCTCGGACCCTTTCACTGGCTTATCTTCTGCCTCTACTGTTCTCTCGGCAGGCCTACCCAGTGACTGGGTTCACTCATACCATTCATGATCCTTTGCCCCCTGATCTTCCTCTTACCCATCCTATCCCTCCTAATCTGAGCGGTACAACCAGTATGTCCAAATTAGACTTTACCTTTATTTTAAGACGTGTGTCATATTTTGGCTATTGGGACCACCAGCTTCCTTCATACAGGAAAACTTGAAGTCATCTTTGTTGTCCCAAATCTCACACGTTAATTTGACAAATATTGATTGAACCTAATCCATGACAGTTTTGCAAAGTTCTGTGGATCTGTTTCTTAGCACAGACACTGGGCTTGTCCAGAATTAGCCAGAACCTGCACATTCTTCTTCCCTAGCCTTTGGATGGGCATACACATGCTGTGGTAGAGATCTGTGTACATAGGCCATGCTAATAGGCAAGTAATCTTAAGAGGGGGTTGCACTTAAAGCCAGGTGTCAGGTTAGGAGCAGATTAACCAACTGTGAGGGCTGCCCGCTTATTGCATATGCTATTCATAGAGCAAGGTCTGCTGCAGTGACTTTGTTGAGAAGTGGTGACATTGATGTGTAACTTCATGCAGGACAACCTTGTCTGACTTGGTGTAGCAGCTGCTCAATACTTAGTGAAAACCATCTGTGGAGACAGAGCCCATGGCCTTGCCTACTAGACATTTGAGGCCTTTAAATAATACTGGAGTTACTAATGTGGGCAGAATTGACACATTTTTTTTTCTTTCCTTCCTGCTAGAGACCATTTGTTTGTGACTATGAAGGGTGTGGCAAAGCCTTCGTCAGGGACTACCACCTGAGCCGCCATGCCCTGCTTCACACTGGAGAAAAGCCCTTTGTGTAAGTAGAGAACTGGGTTGAAGCTCTGAAATGGTTGTATGGTACATTGACCTGGCAAGAAAACTGATTGTTACCTCAAGATCAAGAGAATGTGAAGCTTCATTTGCATCTCCTGACATAAGAGGAGACCAAGTTTTAAATGTGTGGAATGGAATAGGGGTTTTGTGGGTAATTTGTGTTAATAACTTCAGGAACAAGTTAATCTGAAGTTCTCTTGCATTTGCATCCTCTCATCTCCTTTAAAGTGTCCACTAAATGGGAAATCAAACATGAAACACACCCAGTTTAGACCAGATGGAAAATGATTGCTTGGCAGGTTACTGGCTCTCCATTGTCAGGGTCTTTCTGAATTGATACGCTGCTGGGATAAGAGGTAAAAGCATGAAGAAGTCGAGCTTTTAAGAGTTCATCTTGTATTTCTTTGGGTTAAGCCTCTGCACCTCTATCATACCAGTTTTAAATTTTATTCTTCTTGGAGTTGCTGTTTATTTATCTGAAAGGGTGAAGATACAGTTTTTCTTTTAAATCCATATTTCTTTAAGCAGTGGACCTCAAATTTAGGGTGCATCAGAATCACTTGGAGGCTCTTAAAACAGCTTGCTAAACCCCACCCCAGAGCATCTCATTCAGTAGGTCTAGGGTGGGGCCTGAGAATTTGCATTTCTTGCAAGTTCCTGGGTCATATTGATACTGCTGGTCAGGCAACCACACTTAGAACCATTAAACATGTTCCAGGAAAACATTAAATTTTTCTTGGAAACAAAATAAAAAAATAAATCTAATAGCTGTTCAGAACTATGTGTTGGAGACTATCTCAGGAAATAGCTATATGGCAGGTTTTGCAGATGTTAGGATTTAAGATCATAATTTTGTTCTATGAGACAGTTCCTGGAGCAGTAGAGTTTTCTGATGACCTGAGTTGATTTCTATTGGTTCTAAGCTGATGAATGTGAAGGGTCCCATGTCTCACTAAGGTCCACACAGTCTGAAGAAAGTGAGCTGTGACACAGGACAGCCTTCACTGCTGTGTTCCTTATGGAAGGCCATCTCCTCTCCCTCTGACAGCGCACCAGCCAGAGGGAAAGAGGCAAAGTGCTGAGGACAGCAAATGCTGTTTCAGTCCCTGTTCAAGCACACAGTGTCCTCAAAATCAATGACACTAATTGAAGCTTATTATTTCAAAATATAGTTCAACTACACCAGCAAAGAGTAACAGGTGATTTGGAAAATAGGGCTGGAATATAGTCTTTGTCCTAGAACAGGGGTGGGCAAACTTTTTGACTCGAGGGCCACAATGGGTTCTTAAACTGGACCGGAGGGCCGGAACAAAAGCATGGATGGAGTGTCTGTGTGAACTAATATAAATTCAAAGTAAACATCATTACATAAAAGGGTACGGTCTTTTTTTTTTTTAGTTTTATTCATTTCAAACGGGCCGGATCCGTCCCGCGGGCCGTAGTTTGCCCACGGCTGTCCTAGAAGTTTCACTTTGGTGAATTTAGTCTACAAATACACTTGTTCCTATGTTGAAGGCATGTACACGGTCATGTGCAGCATTATTAATAGTAGCAAAGCATTGGAATCAACCCATGTGCCCATCAGGAGGGTTAAAGTGTGTCACCATAGTGGAATACTATACAGCTAGAAAAATTAATGCAGATGTTCTCTATGAAACTAGGGAAATCTCTAAGGCATATTAAGTGAAAAGCCAAGCAAATAAAGGGTTACCTTTTTGTGTATAAAAAGGGAGGGGAGTAGACAGGAAGAACCTATAGTTATATTTGCTTGTATATGTATAAGAAACGCTGAAAGTTACATTAAACTAAAAATGTCACTTGCCTTGGGAGTTCGTGGAGAATACTGGGTGAGTAGGGGCAGGGGTGGAAGGAAACATTATGTATCCGGGTCCCACAGTTACATACAATGAAAGGAAAAAATGGGTCTGGGTACAGATGCACAGGAAGAATGAGAAAAGTGAGGATTATTCCTGCTGGAACAATGTGATATCTTCCAGCTTTCCCTCTAGCCCAGACCACTGTCTCGTTAGTTCCAGGTCCCCATAGCCAGCTGCTGGCTGGACAGTGTTATTTAGCTGTCTTTGTGGTTTCTTAAATTCACTAAGTCCATTCTGAGCTTGGCTTTCTCTTTGGCCTTCTCCTCCCTTGTTCTTGTTAGGTGGCATCACTGTCTATCCAGTGATTCACAGCAAAGATAAGGCAACTCCTCTGGACGCCTCGTTCTGCTCTCCTCTCCAGCACTTAGGTCATCAGGCCCTGTTCCCGATCCCTCAAGTCCCTCTCTCCTGCTCCAGCTGCCACTATCTTATTTCAGGCCCTACTCCTCACTGGCATCACTGGCCCTCTCCCACATCAGCCTCCAGGTTGCTTTCCTTCTTAAAATAGTGCAGTGGTTTTTAAGCACTGCTTACATAATGAAGTCCAGGTCCTTAGCATGTCATATAAATGGCCTTTGTGATTTGGCCATTTTGGGCTTATCTTGACTCATTTGCTTGAGTTTCAGACATGAAATTATGATCCAGCTATGCTTAACTGACCAGCAGCCTCCTCCTGTTTACCCTGCTAACATTGTCAATGTCTTCAGTGGCCCTGTGCCTGCTATTTGGCTCTTGTCAGTATTTTTCCTGGCCCTATCCTGCCCCACACCTGTGTTAGGTTAGATGCCTGGGTCAGGCTTAAACTCAAGAATGACAGAAAACCCAGCACTATAGAGGCTTAAACAAAATAGTCTCTTTTTCTCTTGCATAACTGAAACGCACAGTAAACAGTCCCTGGATGATCTGTAATCATCAGGATCTGAGCCCCTTCTAACTCTCCGCCATCCCCATCTTGGGGCTTCAGCGTCATGGTCCAAGATACCTGTTGGAGCTCCAGCTGTCACATAAGCATTGCAGCCACCAGGATGGAGGGAGGTGCAGAAGAGGTGTACCCCCTTTTTAGACACTTTGTGAGATTTAAGCAACATGGACCAGAACTTAGCCCGGTGCCACCCCTAATTGCAAGGGATGCTGGAAAAAGCTCTCTTTATGTTGGCCATATACCCAGCTGAAACTCAGCATTCTGTTCCTGAGGTCAAGAACACTTGTTGGAACTTTGAGTGGTTTCTGCCACAATGTGTGTTTCCGGTGGGCTTCTGGGCGGATCTCCCATGGTCACTGCACAGTTAGTCTCTGTCCTTCTCCACCTGGCCCTGTGGATAGCACAGTGCTTCATATGGTGGTCACTGCACAGTTAGTCTCTGTCCTCCACCTGGCCCTGTGGATAGCACAGTGCTTCATATGAGTGTTATTCATTGTTTATCAGTGAATGATAGCTATGATTAGGGCTTATAAAGGAAGTCCTGCCTCATCCATCAGGCTGATGAAAACTCATCACAAACAGATCACATATTTTAAAAATACAACTTCACAAAGAATTTAAGTAATTCAAGGCCAAGATGCAGAAATGCTTGTTAAGAGAACTTGAGCAGCCTGGTGATATGCCACAGGGCATAACAGTGTATAGTTCTGTGTTATCTCTGAACTATAAGCTGAAATCAGTTTTTTGTTGTTTTTTGGGGGGGAAGTCTTTTTGGAAAGGCAGTTTACAGTGACATTTCAAGAAAAATTTAGGTTATCACATTCTAGTCTGAGAACAATTTGACTTAAACATCATTTAAGCCTAAACAGGGTCTGGGCCTTGGAATTATTGTTTTTCACCTCCCTCTGCCCAGTCTAAAAGGAGTCTGATGCCATGTGCTTAATTTCAGAAGCCTCGCATGAAGTTCATCTTGTTACATGATAATCACATCAAAACAGAGGTCTACATGGTGTGGTTTACACTTTGGAATTTGTTAAAGACTATTTTATATGATACTTTGGAATAATTAGCTTTTATGAAATCTTAAAATTTTCTTCCCTTGGTTAATATTTGGGTTTGCAATTTCTCACAGTTGTGCAGCTAGTGGCTGTGATCAAAAATTCAACACAAAATCAAACTTGAAGAAACATTTTGAACACAAACACGAAAATCAACAAAAACAATATGTGGTAAGTAAGAATGATATTCTATGCTTAAATTCTCTGAATATTTTTATGCTTATTGTCTGTTTCTAAAAGTTTCATCAACCAAATTTTATCTGTCAAATATCTGGATTTAGTCCGCACATGCTATCATCATTGTTTTATTTTGAAAGCAAACATTATTGTGCTAATTAAAGTATATTATTGGTGGATTACCCCAAATGAAAAAATGTCTGTCTTTAAAGTTTCTTGACAAAGAATTTTACCGTAACTAAATGGGTGAAAGTAGCAAGTTTATAATCTATACAATATTTTTATCTTGAGTATTGTTATGAACTGTTCTTTGATTTTTTTCAAGACTAACAAACCTTTACTGAACAGTGCACTTTTGAAGGTTGTAAGAAGACCTTTAGGAAACATCAGCAGCTGAAAACCCATCAATGCCAGCATACCAATGAGCCACTGTTCAAGTAGGTACTCTACCGGGTGAAATCCACATGGCACATTTCAGGTGGGAATAAACTGAAATGTAAAGGTTGGGTACAAATGTTCTGAAACAGTTTATTAGTCAATATTTTTCTGTTACCATGTAGAGTGTACGCCCCTTTATACTTTGGGCTATGCCAAAAGTTCAATTTTGCTTTTTTCTCTAAAAGAAATATTTAATATGCTTCAGAATACTTTGTGAGATTAGTACAATTGTGGTTAAGCTTGAAGAGAAGATTAATAAATGACTTAGCTATTCAAATAGAGCCTGTTCAATAATATGACATGTCATTATGAAGACCCTAGCTATTCTTTTCCTAAAAAACAAAAGCAGTGTGGCTTAGCCTGCATTAGAGAGGGTTTCGTGGGGAAGAGGAAAGAGTGACAGGAAACATTAGAATAGATGTGCCAAGGGCATTGAGGAATCCCGCCTGCCTGCACAGAAGGTCACTCTTGAAGAGCATGGACTCGGCACTGCTGTGCTGGCGGAGCCTTCCTCCGCTCACACAGGGCTGCCCTTTGCCTGGGAGCTGCTGCCGGCACAGTGCTTGCAGGTCTGCTGCTTCTGGGGCTGCTGGTGGCAGTGACGCCGAAATGGCATGTCCTTTTCATTGCTCACCAGCGGGTGTGAAGCTACAGCTGTGTTTTCTTTTCACACCATTCCCATGCAGCATTGTTGGGGAAACTAGATAGAAACAATTTGGAATGGTTTAAATGTTGACCTAAGCCATCTTTTTTGTAACCATGAAAACACAGAGTAGATTTTCAGAAGTATAAAGATAAAAGTGTTTAATTTGAGCCCTAGCTGATTTGGCTTAGTGGATAAAGCATCGGCCTGCGGACTGAAGGGTCCTGGGTTCGATTCCGCTCAAGGGCACATGCCTGGGTTGCAGGCTCGATCCCCAGTAAGGGGTGTGCAGGAGGCAGCCAATCAGTGATTCTCATCATTGATGTTTCTAGCTCTCTCTCCCTTTCCCTTCCTCACTGAAATAAATAAAAAAACATATTTTTTTAAAAGTGTTTAATTTGATCATATAAGCTAAAAAATGTAATGTAACATTTTTCTCTGTTTTGCTCCAAGTTTGGTCAGGTAATTTGAATTTTAACTATGAGAGGGTCTCATATTTATATGACTGGTTTGGTTGTGGGAAGAGGAGACTTTGGTTGGAGAAATAGGACAAAATACTATTTACCCTAAGTGGAGTTCTCTATGAAAACGGACTGGCTGATGCTTGCTGTCTTGTTAACCCAGGTGCACCCATGAAGGCTGCGGGAAACACTTTGCTTCACCCAGCAGGCTGAAGAGACACGGGAAGGTCCATGAGGGTGTGTATGTGGTCCTTTGTAGTATTCACTTTACTAACACACCAACACATAGGGTGTGTGTGTAAGTCTTTGAGTACTTGCTGCTTTCTACTCTATTCCATGATCATACTGAGCAACTTAGAACTAGGCGGGGCACCATTCTGCGTGTTCAGGTTTTATACTCTTGACCAAGGAGGTGCTGTGTGCTGTGTCCATTCTTCCACTCCGCTGTCACTGTTCAAAGTCCATATTGTATTGTTCAGAACAAGTGCCTGGTTGTGCTGTGTCTTGTGATAGGCAGGTGCTCCAGCCAAGGTGTTGCTTCTTCATAGTAGTTTTTAACACCTTCTACTTACTTCCTATGTCACTCTTCTCCTAGGAGCGCTCAAAGGGTTTAGAAAATGGTTTGGAGTTTTCTGAGCAATCAGATTTGAACTTTTTTAAAAAAAGACTTGACTAAACTGACTACTTGACTCTATTATGTTTCCATATAGGATTTTTGATATCTATATTCCAACTTCCCAAGCCCTAGACTTTATGGGATTTTTTTTTTTTTTTTAAACAAGAGAGTGATAGCCTCATTCTTTTGTTTCTGATATTTAGTTGGGTAAAATTCAGGGTGGCTGTTACATTGACTGATTAATCCAATTCTAGTGCTTTATGAAATGTCAGTTTTTGTTCATGGTCTTTTTCTCTGGTTATTCTAGTTTATTTTCTTCCTTAGCTGTACCCTGCTTCTTTTTTGCCATATGAAACTTACAAGATGGTAAGACAAGAGGAAGCCGGGGTGGGCATATAACTGCTGAGATCTAGTGTTGGTGTTTTGCCAAGGACGAAGGACCACCTTTTTTTGCTGAGGAAAAAGAGAGGCTAGCATAAGGCAGGGAGGGTGGAGGGGCCATGAGCCATGGAGGTGGGGGGAACTAAAGCAGCTGGGCGTCCATGTGCAGTAGAGTCCGCTTACTGAGAACATCAGGAAAGGGAAAGAAGTCTGCTAAGCTCATGTCCTACATGAAATACCCTGATATGCAACTGTTTGGTTTCACTGTAAAATACAACCTCAGTTTTTACTGTCACCTCATGAGACTAACAGAATAGAATACTATTGGGAGGTAGAAGAAACATTACATATACATGTAGGTTTCCTTTTTAATTTTGATTGATGTTTATACTGAATATTCATAAAAGGCAACACACCTATCTTTTTTTAATAGGCTATAAATGTCAAAAAGAATGTTCCTTTGTGGCAAAAACATGGACAGAGCTCCTGAAACATGTGAGAGAAACCCATAAAGGTAAGGCAGCCTGTCTGGTGTGGCTCAGCAGTTGAGCATCAGCCTCTGCACCAGGAGGTCACTGGTTCCATTCCTGGTCAGGGCACATGCCCGGTTTCGAAGCAAGCTCAATCCCCAGTAGGGGGCATGCAGGAGGCAGCCGATTGATGATGTTTCTCTTGTTGATGTTTCTATCTCTTTATCCCTCTTCCTTCCTCTCTTTAAAAATCAATAAAGGAAAAGAAAAAGGGGGCGGGGGGGGGGACACATGAATGGCTTGGTATAACCATTTACCCCTTTAGAACTGATTTAGTGCTTTTAAAGAAATATTAAATATGCACTTAAAAATAATAGATGTTTTGTGAGGAGCTATGCACTTCAGCTGTTTGACAAATGAGAATAGAGACCTATGGTCCCAGGTTTAGGAAGAGCTATTCTGGGTCTCTCTGAGCTACTCTGCATATGTAGCATTTTAAAGGCTATGGCAAGTAAAGAATCTGGGGATGTACTGGTGTTCTGTGGGACAGTTTGGGGAAGAATGCCCGGTGTACTAAGGACAAGGAAGGAAACTGGTCTATTTAATTTTCTCCCTTTGCCCACAGCTACCTTGCTGAGACCCCTGCTCCTTGGCAAGAGTGACTTTATGTAATATAAGAACGTGGGAGACTTGAGACAAATATTTAAGCAATAAAAACTGGAGTTAGTTTCCTCTGAAATTTCTGACTTATGTAAAATCATAAGGTTTTAGGTATTGAATATGTTATATAATTGGATATTAATGTTTTCTATGTGATAATATCTGGGAAAATTGATTAAAATTTTTTGTCTACTTTGCCAGAGAAAATAATATGTGAAGTATGCCAGAAAACATTTAAACGCAAAGATTATCTGAAGCAACATATGAAAACACATAACCCAGAAAGGGATGTGTGTCGATGTCCAAGAGAAGGCTGTGGTAGAACCTATACAACTGTGTTCAATCTCCAGAGCCATATTCTCTCTTTTCATGAGGAAAGGCATCCGTTTGTGTGTGAACACGCTGGCTGTGGCAAAACTTTTGCCATGAAAGTAAGTACTGACTCTCACAGGTGCAGTCCTTCCAGGGTGAGGCTTCCTGCCGGGTTCCTAGGAGCCCTGGGATCCAGGATGGTGCCCCAGGGTCTGCAGTGGGAAGGCGGGTGAAGAGGCCTCCAAGACCTTCCATTCTTGCTTAACCAGAGTGGCTCTGAGCTAAAGTCTGCTGTACAGCCAGATCTGCCTATGCCAAGTGGTTCTCAAAGTGTGGCCCTGGCCTGGGAGTACTAACGTCACCTGGAAACTTGCAAAAAATGCCTATCCACATGCCCTACTCTAGACCTGCTGAATCAGAAACTTGGGGGTCAGGGGCCCAGGAATGCTTTTTAACAAACCCTCTAGGTCAGCAGTCGCCAACCGATGGTCCACAAACCACTGGTGGTCTGTGAGGTCCGAAAGGTTGGCGACTGCTGGTTTAAGGAAACCTTTGGAGCAGTGGTTGCCATCCGGTGATCTGCGGACCACTGGTGGTCCGTGAGGTCTGAAAGGTTGGCGACCGCTGATCTAGGTGATTCTCATGTGGGCTCTATTTGAGAACCAGTGACTTATGGTACCAAATGCATATTCAAAAGAGTATGCTGATATTTTAGGTATCCTTTTAGGCTGCTATCACCTAGGAGCCACCCTTTTAGACCACAATCATGTAGGGATTGAGAAGGAAGTGAGGGACTATAGAACTTGGGAATCTATCTAGTGTACATCTTGGTATGATTCTAGTAGGTTGGGAACATGACACTAAATGGAGGGGCCTGTGTGGTTTTGCAGACTCTCACTCTGGTTGGTGCACTTACAAGCACTTAAACCATGAATTACAATGAAGACTGAAGCGAGAAATGACGCTGGTTCAGCATAGGTCTGAACCATTAGAACACAACTTGGAGCTGCTGATGGTCGGCATTATCATCAGGGACAGCAAGACTTTGGCCAGATATTCCATTGGTTTGGGGATGCTGTGGACATAGCTTCAGTTAAACGAACTTCCTTTAGTTTGGAACTAGTTTTCCCCAACCTCTTACTTATGAAGAGCTAAGAAGCCACAGGAGATCAAGATTATAAATTCCTAACCTGGGTTGTTAGAAGAGGCAGTGATCTCAGTCTAGGACTTGAGGAAGAATCCTCTTGTGGCCTCCTTGTAGGTAGAGGCCACACCCCTCAACAGAACATAACGGAAAGAAGGCTGTTTATTTAAATTCAGGAGTTTTCATGTTAATAGGTACCAAATGGCAATGTTTTAAAAATAGAACATTTTCTTTCTTTCCTTGCAGCAGAGTCTCACTAGGCATGCTGTTGTGCATGACCCTGACAAAAAGAAAATGAAGCTCAAAGTAAGTTGAGACGACTTAGGCAAGCTGTTTTTAAAACATGAATTGCTGATTGAAGCCAGATGCAATCTATTTAGAATATTTTTGACTCTCATTACTGTGTGAGTCTGCACCACTAATGAAAGCAATTGGATGGATTTATTTTCTTATAAAGGAGTGTTGTGTACCTATCAGGGTGTACAACTACTGTAAAATTCAGGTAATTTTTATTTTGAATTCTAATTGTTTTCCTTGTTTCCAAAGGTAAAACAAGCTCGTGGAAAACGGAGTTTGTCCTCCCGTCTCAGTGGATACATTCCTCCTAAAGGGAAACAAGAACATGGCTTATCTTTGCCTAAAACTGGAGAGTTGCTGAATTGCACTGAGGACAAAGTGCTCTCGACAGTTGCGGTACTTACCCTCAGCTAAACATCCAATTGTTCTCCACAGACCAGCCAGCTCAGTTACAGGCAGACCTTATTGGTGGTTCCAGACCACTGCAATAAAACATGTAGTGCAATAAAGCAAGTTGAAATGCCTTTGCTTGTGGAGGAGGGTCTTGCCTTTGATTTGGGGGGAAAAATGCAACATCTGTAAAACACCGTAAAGTGAAGCACAATAAAACGAAGTATTCCTGTATTTTCTCTCAGAAGCACATTTTTCTTTAATCACTGATGCAGAATATCTGATTTTTTGTCGTTTCCATTTTCTTTGTTTAAAGGGTTTCCTTCCTGGGTCTCTTGAGTTTGTCTATATGCAATTTCTTCCTTTTCGCTCAAATGACGAAGAACACATATTACAGCTTTTCCTCCTTTAACAGGTTGTGGCCTGGATGAGAAGGTAGCTATTCCAGGCATAGTCTGGAGGATTTGATTAAATAGCTCCTCCTAAGAAGGGAAAACAGCCAAAGTTTAACTTAAAACCAGTGAGCACCAAAGCCCCACTGAAGCAAGTCTTGCCCCAGAAGGGTGTTTTGATTCTCAATTCTAATACCCAATTCTTGAATTGCTATACAAGTGATTAGCTAAATCATGTCCAGTTAAGCTGATTGAAACCTGTACAGTAACCAGGAAGTTATACAAACTCCATATAACTAAACTAAGGCACTAAAGAAATCCCTACTCTGTCAATGCTCTGAGGGGCTACGTTTGGCCCCAAGCTATCTCTTCGTGCAAAACCAAGTATAAAGCAGTGCGTTTGGGTATTGGCAGAGTATCAACCTATCCCCCAGATTGTTAGCTAAGTGCAGTTTCCAACACTCACTCACAGTCACTTGGGGCATTAGAAAAATACACTGGTTCTAGAGATTCTGGGTCAGTTGGTCGGGGATCTAGCTTAGGTGATTCTAACGTGGAACTAGGGCTGACCACCACTGGGCTGATGCTGCCTTTTAGCTGATAAGTTAACTAACTCTAACTGCGAAATAGAGCCCTAGCCGATTTTGCTCAGTGGCTAGAGCATCAGCCTGCGGACCAAAGGGTCCCGGGTTTGATTCCAGGTTCTTGCAGGAGGCAACCAATCAATGTGTTTCTCTCACGTCGATGTTTCTCTTCCACTCTCCCTAAAAATCAATGGAAAAATATCCTTGGGTGAGGATTAACTAAAAAAGAAAGCAAAATAGATATGCCATAAACTTATCCTGGGATTGTAAACAGATACACACTTTCTTGAAGACAATTTGCCTTTAAATATGATGCTTCTTATAGGCATTTATAAAGAGGAAACAAACTTTAAAAAATGAATATAAAGTTTCTAGCTTTCCTATTTAAATGTTAGATATTCTACAATTCGTAAAATAGGGTAGTATAGCCTTTAAATTATGATGTAGAATGTTTTCACATGGCAAAATATGCTACAATGGAAAACGTAATGTATATACAGTATGCTTGCATTTTGAAAAACAAATTGGAAAGCTATTATCACTAATAGAATTACTGTTACTTTGTTTTTACATTTAGATCAGCAAACAAAAAACAGTTACTACTGTTTTTACTTACCATTTTATTTTCTGGCTCTTCTGCATTCTTTGCTTTCTTTATAGTAACTTGAACTTTATACTTTTTCTCAATCCACTGCTGAATCTGTTTACTCTTTGTGTCCAAATCATGTTGTCCGATATTTGAAGAAAAAATTAGTTCCTTTGTCAGAGTAGGTCCTAGTTTGAAACAGTGAGACATGGTGCTAGGACCATTTATTACCCTGTTATTAGACTAACCTCACCACATATACTTCAGAAAATCTTAGGTTGCCACAGTGGCCCTAACAGTCCTCTCACCTGACTAGTTTCACAGACCATTAAACACTTTTTAAAAATAGGAGACAGACATACAGGTACCATTTTTTTTGCCTGTCAAGGGCATTTAAATACAAAATGTCTCCATTTATTGTTGCCATCATTTGATGAAAGAACATGAAAAGAATGGTCCTTTAAAGGGAACACGCTTAACTTTATAGTAAACTTAATTATTGTTTCTCTTTTGGGTGTGATCTGTCTGGGAAATACTATTCTCATCTTATTCTTCTGTGATACCCTCCTAGCTACAGTGGAATCATCCAGACTGTATCCTGCATTCATTCATTCAATCTACTTTGGAAATCGCAATTATTAGAAAACTAGAGGCCCAGTGCATGAAATTCGTTCATGGGTAGGGTCCCTAGGCCTGGCTGGCAATTAGGGCCGATTGGGGCCTTCCGGCTGCCAGCTGGGGCCTCCCTTCCCTGGCAGCCAGCCGGGGCCTTCATTCTGCGCCGCCCCCTGGTGGTCAGCACCCATCATAGTGAGCGATCAAACTCCCAGTCTCCCAGTCGAACTCCCAAGGGGACAGTTTGCATATAAGGCTTTTATATATATATAGATCATTTTACAGGGAAGGAACAGACTACTCATTAAAGGCATTCGGACAATTGAGAGTTTTCATATGGGAGGAAAAGTTAGGTTTTAACCCATACAAAAATCTCCCCATATGTACTATCTTAATGTAGGAAAAAAACACTTTAATACAAATAGGAGAAAAGAATGGATATGTTTATGACCTCGACAAGGGAAAAACAAAAGTGAAAAATCTAACTAGGATAAGGTTTTTTGCTTCATACAGAACAGAGAATCCTATAAATCAGGAAGAAAAATAAACCATCAAAGAAAAAAAAAAAGGAATATGAATAGGCAATTTGTAGAAGAGGAAACTCAAATGGTGAAAGGAACTACAAATTAAAACAGGATATGGCTTCTCACCCATAAGCATGACAAAAATTAGAGTCTGACAGTACCGAGTGTGGGTGAGAATGGAGAGATGTTCATATACTGCATGCTGATTTGCCCCATAGGAACTGAGCATGCACAAGGAGATACTGATACATGCATAGACTCATTGTTTGTAATAATGAAAACTAGAAGCAAGCCCAATGGCCAGGGAAATGGACTAACAAAGCTATAGTACATGCTTATGATGAAATGTCACTTGGTAACTATATTTAGCTATAGCTATTATATAAACATCTTGAAAACAATAGTGTGCCCTTTATAATTTTATGCATACAAAATTATTCTATATACTGTTTGTGACTGTATCTGTCTGTAATGAGTTTAACAACATGGACTGGATCTACATCCTGAGTCCATGAGAGTGAGTGGGGGCCTTTGGGGAAGAAGGATGGAACAGGAGAAGGGAGCCCAGGACTTCAACTTTTCTGTAATGTTTTGTTAAAGAAATCTGAAGTATGACAATGTTAATGCTTGTTTATTTTGTATGATAAGAGTTGTTTATTTTTCTGCTTCTAATTTCCAAAATAAAGGTAATTCTAAAAAAGAGTTCCTTTATTAACACCTTCTTGCTTCCTTAAAGCTACAATCAGTTGGTCCTAGTTTCCTATCAGGTCAAAGTCATGGCTTTGACAATTTCTGAACACAGTGAGGTGTCTTCTCCAGCCTGTCAATTTTTTTTCATAGACATAGTTTGATGACCTTATGCCCCTCGTTGGCCTCTTTTGAAAATTTGTTTTCCAGTCAGCATCCTTGTTAAACATTGCGGACAGATCACGAGAATTCTCGTGTTTTCTGTTCTAAGGCTTATGGCCAATCACGAGAATTCTTTAAAAAGATATTAGCTTGTAAGAACATGTAATAAATAACTTCAAAATGCAATGGGTATTTAATTTTAAAGCGTGCCTTTAACATTTATGTAAAACATTTTTTGTACTCGTTCAATAGAAACTTATCTGGCCTCTGGGTAACTACTGGTCCGCAATATGTTAAGTGTGGTGTTACAAACTGAGCCACAGACTACGTGTGACTTTCTCAAGACACAACCTCACTGGGACTAGTCTTCTGACCCCTACTCCAGTGCCTTTTCCATTGAACAACCTTTCATAATGATCAGTAATAATTAAAAGTCATGAAAAACCAACATTAATGCCTTGTAAGGTGATTGGCAAAATATGTAAACGATTGTCACTACCAGTAATGTAACAAAATACTCAGGCATAGATGCTCTATGAATCACTCCCGAGTTTAAAAAGTGCCTCTTTGGAATTAGCCAAACACCTCCACTTTGAGATGAGATTTTTTTTTTTTTTAAAAAGGAGGGTAAATGAGTGGCTCAGGAGAGGAATAGGAACTTGAATCCATCTCTTCTGAGTCTCATTACATTACACCCATCAGTTACTCTGCCTGCCTGGGCATTAGGAGACAAAGCTAAGAGCAAAGGGAAAAGATTTCCTATTATTTTGGTGGTGTTTACCTTGTTTTTCCTCATTTTACATAGGTTTATAAAAAGGTGATCGACACAGGATACAAGGAAAATTTAAAAAGGAACAGAAATGAGGGATGAAAAAAGCATTGGAAACAGTGGTGAAACTGAATTTTCGTTTTTCAACCCATTGTCACAGGCATTGTAGCAAATGCCCAATTTAAACTGCTGATTATAGTCTTAAGGAATTCAAGGGGCAAAGAGCAAACTACCTACCGGTCTTAGGTCTGGCCTTTTCCCTCTCTCTCAGTCTCAGCCGCTCTTGGTGAATCTGTGTGCCTGTCATGAGCTGGTACTCGGGAGGGTCTGTGCTGGGCTTCCTTTTCACAAGTCGCAGGTCTCGCTCGTCCATAAGTCGAATCACGTCTGCTCGGTGCATGTTCCCCAAATCATTGCCCTTCTCATCAAATACATGAATGATTCGCTCACTAATTTTTCTTCCAATGTTACTAAAATCAGTTTCATTATTTTTTCTCTTTTTTCTTTCATGCTGGGAGTCTTCAACAGTACTAAAAGCTTTTGCATGAATTAGGTAGGACAGTCTTGGGACAGAAGCAGTAAGGGGCAATTGTGCTAGTGCCATCTTTTGCACGATGTATTTACCCAAACATCTTCTAAGACAGTTATTTTCAGTCTTTATGGTTTGTAATATTATTGACCTTAGAAAAACAGCAGCCATCCTAAAAAGTAGGGAGAACAGTTGATTAAAATCAAATCATTTGTTCTTGTGGTTTGATATTGTGGTACAAGGAGGGTGTGTGTGTGAGGCTGTGGAAACTATGTCATCTGTGAATGTTTTGGATC